GAAAATCTTCTGCTATTCGTCTTCTGAAGACGAAAGGCAGAAGACTTTCGAAACGTCATCCTCTACACTTGTGTTTCTACAACAGGAAGTTGCCATCCATTCAACTTAGTTTTATCATGTGAATAGTCATTGTTGCATGTACACTATATTACTACAAGTTTAGGGACAAAGAACTCCTATCTAGGAATGATGGTCCCATCCTCATGAGCTTGTATACAAATCCGTTGATACATTTCTATGTAAAATACATTAAAGTTAGTTGGGCTGACAAAACATACTGGAAGACCATGTACTCAACCTTGTAACTTGTTTTCAGCTTCCACAATGTTGTTTGATTTCAAGAATAATTTGAAGAGAAAGAAAAAGAGATTTCATTTGCAACTAGCATTTTTTGTTTTTATCGTATCAAAATTGTAGTGGTAACTCGTACCATCACCAGTATTTCAAGCAATAAATATATTTTTGCTTACCAGTTTCTTAAAAATTAGATATTAAGGACCATTATCATTATAAACGTAGTTTGATCAGAAAAGTGGCTACAGCTTGCTGAGGTCACTTCTTTGAATGAGATTTTTCTGAAAATCTTTTTTGTGAAAATGCTTGATTATGAAAGCTAGTTGGAGGACTGCATATATATATTATAAATAATTATCAAATAATCTTACTTCACTTGACTGAGCTAAAATTTCACTGAAATAAGAATGGTGGTTTATTTTTTAGTGCAAGAAACATAGAAACTTATTAAAGTATAGTTTGTTGTACAAGCGATTTTTTTTTTCTTTCAGTTTTTTTATTACATATGAAAAAAATACGTTTTTGTCTCTAATATTTTAACAACAATACTATTATTGCCTTAAGTGAGTATAGCATTTCATAAAATATTATTTTTCACACTTAGATGGCTACATGAATTTGCCATCTATTCGTCCACTGGAGACCCTCCACAATGCTCTATCTCTCAGTCAACTGGACAACTTTCTAGAACGAATGACTACAGCTATTGTAAGAATGCCTCTTTCTTCCCTCCCGAAGGTGCCATCAACTGTTTGTTCATCAGCATTCCTTAATTACTCTTATATGAGCCAACCAGCTATTCTACCAATTATATCTCCATCTAGCAGTAGGTATTCTTTTAAAGTTTTAAAACTTGTATACAAGCTTTTAAATATTTTTTTTTGTAATTTTATATTGTTTATACATTTAGCATATTGACAAGAGTAGTAGTTATTACAATAGTTTCTAATGTTAACAATGAGTCATTGTGTGATAAGCAGTTAAACTTATTAACTTAGTTTAGTACTAGTTTTCAAGTTTGTATGACCTGTTTCTGGCTGGAGTGTAGGAATAGATGATATTTCAGTCTCTGTGCCGGTGACCACTTTTACATCCTGGCAGATGCAGTCCATAAGTTTTTCAAATCCAGTGCAGTCTGCTTTGTTTAAATCTCCTATAAGAAATAGTTAGATACTGATTGAAACTGGAGAGTTTTCATGCATCAAATTAGATTAACAAGTGTGAATGTTAGACAACTGCTGTAATGTTCAAGCAACTTATCATGACTAGTATTTTATATATTCTCAAAACTGTATGATCATCTTATATTTGTTTTAAACAATAAATGGTCATTCATAGTTTGCTCAAAAAGAACTTGAATATATAATGCATAAAGATATGAGATTTATGTATAAAAGTATTAACTTGAACTGTTAGGTACTTGGTTTATGAAACATTTCTTTTTAGATAAGTCACTATGAAAAAGAATAAAAACTTACTTTAGTTCTACTTTTCATTTGCTGATATTATGTAATATATATTTGGAGCTCATTCAAACAAGCTTTTGTTTTACAAATTTTCATAATAAAATTTTAGGAATAAGAAAAATGGCTTTATAAATAAGTGACATAAGTGGTTAAATTTAACACCATAGTGTTAATAAAATCCTTTCTCATGATTCACACATTGATAGGTACTAATCATATAGTTGTGCAAACAAACTTAACTATTAAGATTCAGGATTAAGTATTATGACTTTAGTAATTTTCTTTTAGTATTATAGAAGGTCATTTACACTTGAAAATGATGTAACTTTGGTATACTAATAATATTTTTCCTGATAATCATACACTGTCTGCTTACCATACATAACGATGGCTCTGCAGAAACTGGCTAATGTCTTAGTTCAACAACTTTCAACACCAGTGCAGTTGTCTAAAGGACCTTAATAGTTATATGGTTAAAGGGGGATTACCATGGTTTCAGTTCCTTTTAGCCATCTTTCTTATGAAGGCATCCATTAATTTTGAAGAGAGGCTAGGAGCCTGTAATTTTAGGCTTGTGAACCTTCTTCATCTGCAAGTCTTTGTTTATTTTGTTAATTGGTTCAGAAGAAAGACACACCTAGTTTCATTGCAGTGTTCTTGGGGCTGGAAGATTCTCTTTCCTAATCACAACCTTCACTTTGTAGTTGAAGGTAATGGTCCTGATTGGATTAAAGTATTAGTCAGGAGCCTATTACTACCCTAAGTGCTCTGCTGTGAAATTATTTTAATTACATGGAAGGCTCATTTTTTTTTAATATTATGATCTCTAGCTGTTTAACAATCTCATGGTATGAATATTTTATGGGAAGAGCACTCACACCTCCAGCCACAAATTAAGTTATGGAGGCATTTGACAAGCATAGTCAATGCAATTTGTTTTATATGCTAGGTAGATTTGTGTTATATCTTCATAGTTTTAGAATCATACCAAAGCTCACAGAGAAATAACTGATTTATATATATATGTCCATGATCTATACATGACCAAGTTAACGTATTGTTGACACTCGAGGATTCAGCATCACATGAACTGCACTGTTTTTCTTGTTTAGCTTCTGTTTGAGCCCATTAATTAATAGACATTTCTTTATTCACAGTTCTGATTCATTGTTGACCTTAGGCAGGATTTTAAATTGTCCTCTATATATAGTTTCATTACATTTGTTCAGTGCATACCTCTTAGTACTTGAAAATGGCATGGATATTAAATGTACATGTTTCTTCTGTGCAAACAGTTAACCATCTAGTGGTGGAATCAATATAAAAAACATTAGGTCATTTATATTCAGATAAAACATTGGAAGCTAGGAAGATATGCACTCCTTATACCTGAAAAATACTGTAATTTGCATACAAGTTTAAAAACACATTTCAATTATACTTGAGGGTAAGCTCAATTATATTACTTGCATGAAATAATTTGCATAACTGATTTCTAATCAGTTCATAGATATTTCTTTATAAACATGGCAATATTAATGATATTTGATGTTTAGCTACATTCCAGTTAGATGATTGATATAAAGACTCCTATTATTGAATAGCATGAGCACTTTGACCCCATCTCATCTGTCTACAGAAAGTTAAAGTTAAGAATGACTCTCTGTTAAATTTACATTATTTGTAGGGCAATCACCCCCTACTTTTGTACTTTCTGAACACTTTAGTCATGGCTTCTCATCAGAAGGATGTGTAAGATGCCACTAAGCAGGGTCAATGGCCATGCATTTTTATTTTTATCACTGTTTTAGTGGTTGCTAATGGTGGTTTGTAATTGATTAGACCCTGTAAATTTAACCAATATATCCAATGTGCATGTCTTGTTTCATTAAATCTGCAAGACACAAGTCCAGTGATTTGTCACACTTGTTGTATAGCAATGACAAAAAAAACTACTGGATGAAATAGTTTGAAACTTCTGAATTACTTTCCAAATATTATTCAGCTTCTGCAAGTAAAATATTTTTATATATAATATTTGTTTGAGTTTTTGGGGTTGAAATTTCTAAAAGATTTCACTGTGGTACATTTTTCTTTAAGAAAATAAAAAATGCTTACCTTTATTGTAGATTTTAATTACTGATTTTGATGTCTTTCTACATTCTTTTAAAACCTTTCTGTAAAGTTTTTATTATATATAAGTGTAAATTTATCTTTGTTTTGATTTACAAAACAATGCTCACAGTTTTATTGTCTTTTCTGTCACTGTCATATATGAAAATAAGTTTTAACATACCCAAATTATGATAAAGTCAATCTTTTTTTCAAATTGTTAATGAGAACATTTCACTTAATATATGTAATAAAATAAACCTATTTTATATCCATTTATATATCTTTTTACATTTAATAATATAAACCTATTTTATATCCATATATATATCTTTTTATATTTAATAAATTATATATGTAATAATATAAACCTATTTTATATCCATTTATATATCTTTTTTACATTTCTTTCCAGCAATTTTCTTTGCCCATTCAAGCTGACTTGAACAGATATGGCCTAATATAAACAAGGCTTAACACAGCAGTCTTGTCAGCAAAACAAAACTTGATATCGTTTAGTGTAACATGATTTAACTAAGCATCTTATCTTGTTCCACAGAAAACATTTCTTTTTCCCATCTTTCTTCAACATCATTATTCAAATATAGCATAAAATGATAAAACAAGCTTTGGCAAGCTTTTTTAAAAAAAAGTCAGGATTGTAATTATAGCAGATATTGTTTGCAAACATCTTTTCTTTCAACATATCACCAAGCCAAGCTTTTACCACTTTGTTCCAATCTCTTCACACATCTCCATTGAACTGGAAGCCTCAACAGCTTTTAAAGTCAAAAGAAGGGAAAAATAGATTTCATGACATGTTTAGATCAGTAGCCTGTGGCTTATCATAGCTGAGATATCACACCATTGAAATGGTTGAGAAATGGTAATTGGCTGAAATCTATAAAACTACACTTTTATTCAAGTTAAAAGAATAAATTAGTGCTATTTGATTCAAAATAGGTATGACTTTCCTCCTAGGAGGCTAGAAGTGCCCAATTATACTCATAAAAAAAATTCAGGAAAGTTACTAGTACTAATGGTGTCATTGGGAGCTCCCTGAAATAAGAGTTTGTAACTTATAATGCTAGTAATATATTCAAAATTAAATAAATAATTTTTTTTTATTGAAAAATTTCAACTTCGTAGTAATTTTTTTAACATAGAAAAACGACAACAAGTTTATTTTCTATAACTTTCCTAATTCAATGTTGAAGTTTTGCACTTGAGATAGTCTGCACCCATCCAGACATAACAGAGTTAAACAAACATCTGCATTCAGCTATCTGGCATGAAAATATTTCAATATAGGTTAGTGCTAAAGCATAAGTTATCTACTTTCACAGTCTTAACTGTAAGGACACAAGAAGAAGAATAATACCAAAATTTTCTGTAACTTGTATAAAATCACCAGTTGTTCAAGGAGGGATCGTAAGAAGAATTTAACATAATTATACTTTTCAGTTTCAAATCATATTATGTATCTATTTATAATGATAAATAACTCTCATTGCACTAAAATATGTTATTTTCTACTGACAATAAATCAACTGTTTGACTTTCTTGCAATAGATTAATAAACACTAGTAATAGATTCATTCGACGGGAATCTAAATATAATGATGAACAACAGGATGACAGCAGCAACAACGAACATTTGACACGTGTACATTTAATTATTGAATGTTTCGGAATATACATAATCCATCTTCAGCAAACTATACTGAACATGGTAAATTATTAGGTACAGACAGTTTATAAAGTTTAAACATTCTATAAATAGTAATTAAAATACAGAATAAAAGTAAGAAATAAATTAAAAGACAATCAAATAAACAGTTCCAACTCTTGCTAACATATTTCTTTGTCACTGCATTGTATAGAAGGTATGTTGACAATATGTTTTTACTCTTTCAAAGCTCTACTCACATCAAACAGTTTTTAGATAATTTAAATTTGAAACACCCTAACATTAATTTTACTTGTGAAACTGAAAAAAAACAAGTAAATTGGCTTTTCTTGATATCCAAATGAACAGATTAGATAACCCCTTCCCAACATCCATTTATCATAAAAAAAATATATATACAGACTTGCATGTTTGATTTGACAGTTTTATTCCGAGTTCCTTTAAATGTAACCTTATTGTCAGCCTTCTCAATAAAGCATATAACATCTGTTCTAACTACCTCTCTCATCATACCAAAATCACGAACTTACGGAACATTTTAATAAACAACAGCTATCC